CCCCTCCTGTACTATATAATCCTTCCCCTCTGATCTCAACTGCATTGATTTGCAAATTGAACAGTAAAAATCGATGCACAATGAAATTTGGTTATCATGCGCGTTGTATTGTACCAAACAAAATTAAGTGCTTAAGAATTGAACTTACAAGTCCTTTCTCCCTTGCAGCTGCCAGAGAACCAGCTGCAACAAAATCATTGTAGGCTACCTGATGAACCACAAACTTATCAGTATCATTCATTCAATAAACAAGAAAAAAACATTTGAATTGCCCAGTCATTATCTGATTCAATTCCTTAAGGGTCATGTCAGTATTAGTCCTTCAAATCTTTCATATTTTGATATTGGTCCTTCAAATATTTGAAATTGCTATAAGGTCCCCCAGATCACATAAGTCGTTTGACATTAGTCCACTTAGCACCATTTGAATTTGGGAGAAATATCCCTTCCACTTTTATTGATTGGGGCCGGAATATTTTTTGTTATACACTTTTTAATACAAACCCAAACTCATATTCATTTACACACCCTACTCCGTTTCAGTAAGCCCATTAAAACTTCCATCTTTCCCAATGGTCTTTAGTGAGAGTAGCTCGGTAATTACTCATCCATGGTTAAGCACTAGCCCGACCATGGTTATCAGATTGGACAGATTTAGATGCGGAGAACTAATATATTTTGGGGGACGTAATCAAAATTTCAATGATTTGGGGGACTAATCTCAAAATATGAAAGATTTGAGGGACAAATATCAGAATAACCCATCCCTTAAACATCTGCTTTCCTAGGGATTCTAAAATTCATCCCCTCAGATCATATTAAATGCTTGGAATATTTAGAAATAACAGGTGTTTTTCAAACTGAAACTTAGATAATGGTACTTACAGTCTCTGCTCGAATGAAGCCCTTCTCAAAGTCAGAATGTATAACTCCAGCAGCTTGAGGTGCTGTCATGCCTATTTTGATGGCAACATTTGGTAAGATAAAAGATTGGCTTTGATAAATCACATGAAAAGGATACAAATCTTACCTGCATGTATAGTCCATGCCTTTGTTTCCTTGGAAAAACAAGAGAGAGGCAAAATATGCATGTTAAGAGAACTTAATACTTAACACTGACAACTGCATTATCGGAAACAAGTCAAGATGCTTACCTTCTCTCCTGATGTAAAATAAGTTCGCAACCCTAAAAGACTATATGTCGCCCTTATTAGATTCCCTAGTCCACTTTCATCTACACCAAGGGACTTTAAGAATTCAGTTCTTTCCTCAGGTGGAAGTTCGGTGAGCTCAGCTTCAACCTGTTTGACAATTGGTTCTTTAATTTGTAGTTTAATCAACTGATTAATGATTATTCAGCTCAAAGCACCTCTCTTTACTTGAACCAAAAATAAGAAAGTGAAGATATGGAACAGAAAGAACTTCAAGTTAATCTTGAAACTTATCTGGTAAATTTACAATTATGCTTACATAATGAATTTAACTTCCGAAAAAATTCAGGGTAAAAGCTTAGGGTTTTTCTCATATTAGACCTCCAAGTGTTTGTTAATTCTATATTAGACTCTAAAATCTTCATAGTTCTCAATTAGATCCTGAATCTTCATATTTGTTAAGAATGGGGGTCTTATTTAAAAGAGCTTAATAGATTTGGGGATGTAACTTAATAATACGAGGGTCTTATTTAAAACAACTTAATGGATTTGGGGGGTCTAATTTAAAAATAAGAAAACTTGGGTTCCTAAACGTCTAATATAGTATCAACAAAGATTTGGGGTTCTAATATGACAAAAAGTCAAAAACCCAAAAGATTTTTTTCCTTGCAAAGGATGTCTACACTTATTGCCTGGAGCAAATTCGCGCATGCATATGCATAGTATGCAGACTACGTGGATTTTGCTGGTGAGAATAAACATGCTGATTCAATGTATTAGTATACAATAAAGTTACAAACATATACAAGTGATATTAGTCGGTATGCCATTTTCATGAAGCTAGCATCCTTCCTGCAAAGTCCTGCAGTTCATTCAGTGACCAGCTTATTACTCAAGATAATAAATCCACAAATAGTGACAGCATAGCAAAAACATCACCAAACAATCATTGAAAAAAGTTATGCATGATAAAAGTAATTAAGATAAAACAATTATCCGACTGATATTTCATAAGCGACAAAGGTATAAAGCACCAAGCCCTATTTAACCATATATGAATATATTTTGTGAAGTTGATATAATTACATAGATTAGTTATTAATGTACTATTCTATATACTAGTGGAGTATACCTGTGCTGAAACTGTAACCATCCCAGATTGCAATTCAGATGCAAGATTGATCACTTCTTTGACATGTGGATTATCACTAGGGTCAGCAAGTTCAGACTCAGCCACGTTAGCTACATATATTACAGGTTTCATTGTGAGCAGGCACAGCTGACGTATAGAATCTTTCTCCAAATCTGTTAATGAAACAGATCTTGCAGGTTTTCCATCCATAAGTGCCTTCTGAATACTTTCTAAAGCAGATCTTTCTGCTTCCTCCTGAAATAAGAGCATAATCAAAAAGTGAGTACTGGTGTCAAGTTTGAATATGCATAACTCAACCATCAGCAAATTTTACCTTCACTTTAGTTTGTGAATCCTTGGATTTGCTTTTCTTAAGTTTCTCTAGCCTTTTCTCTATCTGCATTACTTATAAAAATACAACTTAGTCCTATTAGCCCACCATGTTAACAGCAATTATCTTCATATGCATGCAAATGCACTGCTGATAAGCAACTTGTTCTATATCTAAGCACACAAAGAACAACAATTGCAGAAGATATCTTAATTGTTTACCTGGTCAAGATCTGAGAAAACCAGCTCCAAATTAATGACATCAATATCTGATTTCGGGTTAACTTTTCCATTCACATGAACAATATCATTATCCTCAAAGCAGCGTACAACCTACGCACCACATGCATCAAAACAAATTCTTAAATACCTAAGAAATCCTTCATAACTATTCTCTCAAATGATACAATCTTCCAAATGAAGCAAACATACAAACTGTGATTGTGAGTTCAGGAAATAATAAAAAAATAAGAAACATATTACTAAATAGATGACAAAGGGACAAAAGTACCAATGAAAAGATAAATATATCTACTGATACACAAATCTAATGTGATGTTGGTGCAATAATTAATCGAATATAACAAACTCCCCAAGCCTTTTTTTTTCCTACTACAAATAAATAGGCAATGATCAGAGAAACAGTTAGTAAAGAACTTAAAATGAACAAGAAGAGACTTATGTTGTACATGTATATTACCCAAGAATTCACTTGGAAAAAAAATAATAAAAGAAGAAAAAGATACAGAGCTTTCATAGAGTTTGGCAGATAATCAATAACAATAAACACTTGGTGTTGGATGAATCTCATCCTCCATTTCCATAAGTAAATCAAATATAAATGCACCGCCTTCAAATCCTAATAAAACAAACAGTATTTTAGCATAACCTCCAATTGACTATAGAAATAGTTATTCCCGGATGTGGATAAATAGCTATTTAATCCTAATAAAACAAACAGTCATGGAAATTGCTGCCTGCTACAGCTTGCTGTCCATAACTGCAAGTACACCCATTCCGATTTTCACTTAAAATACAAAAAGTACAACAAATTCTTAGTAGAAAGGAATACAGGCATGAGATTCTGATAAAAAGCTATATGCCTGTTCCACAAGGTTCTCATATGGAGATTGCTACCCATTTCTAAGATACTTGAAGAGCTTGATGATTGTTAGAAACCTACTACCACTGAGGTTGGTAGATAATAGATATTAACATGCTAATTGTGCACTCAGTCTCAAAAATAAAATAAAACAAAAAGTGTCCTATTTGCACAATATTGTTTGTCATCTGTAAATATTACGCTCCTGATGTTGTACTAATTTCGGTGAAAGTTTAGTGATTTTCTGGAGCACAGGTTCTTCTCTCGAAAAAAAAAGTTTTGCCAAGATCACAATGAAGTTGCAGTGTGATATCAGTATTGCAATCATCGTTACTTGTGATCCTTCTGCATAATCATTGTCACTTCACTTGGGAATGAATTGTTTCCCGGGGGCCATAAGTTCCTAATGCTTGTCAGCTGCATTGTGTTTTCGACTTCTAATAGACTACTCAGCCTTGACTTCTGTCCACCTTGACCAAGTCAGAAATGGTTACCACCTAGAGTGTTAGATTCTACAAGGTACAGGACCTTGTAGGTGATATTGATAATTTGATATTACCTGAGGGCTTTTTACAAAGTACAATGATAAACTGAAATGATAGGATAGATCTACAACTACTGAGATATTGTTCTTCAAACCCTTTCCTCCAACTGTTAACAACATGTGACAAGAACACTGAGAGTAAAAAAGAAAAATAAAAGTCTTGGGTTCAATGTAGCCAAAGGATCATTGTGGCTATTGTTTTTCAAGTGTGAAACGGCATAGTCTTGAGGAGTGTGATAAAGATAAGATTGAACTCAGAAAAATCAACACAAATACAAACCTGAAGTATGGAATCCACTTCGCGAATGTGCGAAAGAAATTTATTCCCCAATCCCTGTAATGTAAAAGGACATAAAGCTTTAGTAGCCAGTAAATACCTCCTGCTTAGAATTAGTCACATTTGACAGAAAAGAACACTTTGAAATAAAACAATTTTGTTCATTTACCTATTCAAGTAATTCAACTACCACAAAAAGTATTTCATTTCTTAGGTGAACATCCAAGTAGACAAAATTTACATGTATACTCTCGAAAAAATTCCAATTCTCAACGAAAGGAGTTACGGCTTGTAACTTTTTTGTACATCAAATCATAAAATGCAGCCTTTTCTACATTCTTCAACAGATTTCCAAACAAATTTCATTTAGTATGATGTTTCCAGAAGGACAGTCATGTTTCATGTTCAATTGCAGACAACTCAGACCCACTGAAAACTATAGAAGATACATCCATTAATAACATAATCAATCTTCAAGCATGACTTCAATTCGCAAATCAATCGCAAAATGAAACGAAGGCCTTCACCTCTCCTTGACTGGCTCCTTTCACTAAACCAGCGATGTCCACAAACTCTATAGACGCCGGCACAGACTTCTGAGATTTACTAAGACCAGAAAGCACACTCAACCTCGGATCCGGAACCGTCACAATCCCCACATTCGGCTCAATCGTGCAGAAGGGAAAGTTCGCAGCCTGAGCCTTTCCATTCTCAACCTGAATAAATCAAAGACATTAAATCAAACATTTTGCTTGCACTAACTACTGCACTAGAGAAACTACTCAACTCCAATGAATTTGGGGATTAGGGCTTCGAGAGCTTACAACGGCATTGAAGAGGGTGGACTTGCCGACGTTGGGGAGGCCGACGATGCCGGCCTTGAGGCTCATGCTGATCCTCGACCCTGAGGAGTAGAGGCGTCGCCATTGATGAGGGAGGAGGAGAGGAGAAGAGGAAATGGAGCAAGAGGAGGTAAAACCTAGCCATTGAGAGGTCAAAACCCTAGAGATGGCCATTGAGATTCTTCGGGGGGGAGAGAGGATAGAGAGAGAGAGAGAGGAGGGAGAGGGAATTGGATATTGGCGTCGAATATAAACCAGTGAAGAAATTCACGGGGCTTTTTTTGGATTTTATTTTTGTATATATATCCTTTAAACGTTCTTATTCTGAGAAAAACTCTAACGCCTCGTTCGGTACGCGGGAATGGACAAACTTGGGAATGGAATGGAAGAAAGAATGGAATGGATTGCATGTGAGAATAGAATGGTCATTCTCATTCTCTTGTTTGGGTGCGTTCGTAGAATGAAGCTAGAATGGAAATCTCATTCTCATTCCCATGTTTGGTATCACTAGTACACAAGTGAGAATGAAATCTCATTTTCTAATAATGCCCTTACAACAACATAGATTTTTAATAAGATAAAAAATAAACATTAATGATAATAACTAAATAATTTTATATACGCATATGTTATATTAATCTAGGTATGTGTTATACTAATGCTCGTGTTATCCATCAGGTGTATGTTTCGTTTATATTTTTTAAACAATACTCGTTATTTCTTAGTCTTAAAAATTAAAGAAAAATAAAAAAAAGATTATCGTATCTTTCATAGGTCCAAAAAAAAGAATGATATCCACAATCCACAGTTCTAGATATATAAATTAACTTATTTAATAAAGTATCAAAATCACTCAATTCATAATAGCAAAAATCCATAAAACAATACCAACTAAAATAATAAGTTTCGAAATAGCAAAATGATATACTAGCCTAAATTGTCAATCTAAAATTGCCCACTTGCATAGCGCCTCACCCAAACATTCTTTATTATTAATATGGATATAATTAAAAAATACCTAACTAGTTTTTGATTCTCACTTGAATGGGAATGACCATTCCTTATCTTCTCACTTGGAATGCTCATTCCCACAAATAGTGGGAATGATCATTCCTAGGGAATGGTCATTCCAACATCTAAAATATAGGTGTGTTTGGTATGAGGGAATGGGAAGTGGGAATTGCATTCCATTCCTCCTCATTCCCGCGTACCAAACGAGACGTAAGGCCCCATTTGGTACGCGGGAATGGGGTGGAATGAAATATCATTCTCACTTCACATTCCTTCATACCAAACAAAACTTGTTTTTAGATGTTGGAATGATCATTCCTATGGAATGGTGATTCTTATTTTTTGTGGGAATGGGTATTCCAAGTGAGAAGATAAGGTATGATCATTCCCATTCAAGGGGAGAATCAAATTAGTTAGTTTTTTTTAATTATACCCCTATTAATAATAAGAATCAATTTAAAAATCATGGCTTTTGACTACGTATTCTCATTTTCTCTCAGCTACTAATTATATTCGAACAACAGGAATTTTTTGCGGAGTAAGGATTAAAACTAGTGGTACATATTTCAGTAACATATTAAAACTAGCGGTACATATTTTTTGCGGAGTAAGGATTAAAACTAGTGGTACATATTTCAGTAACATATTAAAACTAGCGGTACATATTTCATTAGCTTATTATATCACAATTGCTCAACATAGGAGCAACATAATTTAATATAAAAACATATACAACTAAAACTATATATTATTTGCCGATTGAAATTCTTTCATGTTAATATTTTTTTTGGTCAATCAAATTTTTTTGTTTATTCACCAATATTTAAAGTTTTTTATTTTCACCAGCATATTATATTCTTTTTGAACTTTTGCTATTATTTTTCCACCATAGAGAACTATATGTACCAATTGCGTACATGTTTGATTGTGGTTCATGCACAACAATAAATGCAACTTTTTGATTGAAAAATATTTAACCCAATCTATCTACCCTTTAAAAGAGGGAGTTCATGAAAAACTTTCCCTAGCCCAAAATACCCTTCAGCTATTATAAATATAATAGTTTTATCCCTTTTTATCATTAAACAGGGTTAAGAAATTGGGAGCCCTAAAGCCTTCGTTTCTTTCATTCTCCGACGGTTACCCTTCACCTCCGGCAACGCCCTCCCACTCTCTTAAACCATTAATTGCCAACGATGAGTACCCGATGCCCTAAGCCCTCATCATCACCGCACCTCCTCTGCCATCATCTCCTCACTTCTTAGATATTGGGCATCTGTTATGATCACGAATGAGGCTCATTGACGAAGGTATGATTTGCTCATTTTCTAAATTTTAGTTTTGATTTTTAAATGTTTTTTCATCAACGCTTGAGGATCAAACTCCGGCGGCAACTCATGCCCTTTCTGGCATATATTTCTAATTTCTGTCGTTAGATTCGTGTTCTCTTTTGCCTACTTTATGTATTTGCTTTATTTTGAACCCTCAATATATTCTTGAATTTATCTACTTGATCTTGGTTTATTCATTTGCGTTTGTTGTTGTTGACAGACCTGGACTTCTTATTCCACATGTTTTTCCTTGCTCGATACTGCAAGCTTCTTGAGGAGAACTCATTCAGGGGACGGACTGCAGATTTCTTGTACTCTCCGCTGCCTATTTACCATGGGTTAGTATTTATTTTTGGTTGTATTTAATTAAACAGATTAATGCCTGCTACAAAAGCCTTCTTTTTCTATATTTCCCCCTGTATCAGTTGCTAGGATTTTCTTTGTAGATTGTCCAATATGCTTTTAATTTAATATGTTTAGCCATGTTTCTGGTGATCCTCATGCGACATGATTTTTTCAATAATATTATATGTACATTTTTTAAATTTTAGAATAGTAGGAGGTCGGAGTTGGAATCTCTGGTGGTTCATTCGACGGTCAAGTTAGTACCAAGCCTGAGTGGAGAAGATGACTAAATGTGAAATAGTTTTTTAGGCAGACTTTGCTTACCCTAAGCAGCAGACATCAATTCCCTTTTATAGCAGATCCAAAGGGGCAAAAGGGTAACTTAGGCCGAGTCTAAACAAGCGGCTTTGTTAGCATTTACTCACCTAGGTGTTTAATGCGATGATGACTGGCCGACATGTTTTTTCATATTATCACAGTCTCATATGGTTGAGTAAAATTTTCATTCTTTAACATGTGCAAAGTGGCTATAAAAGATAGAAAAGAACAGGGGAAAGTGTTAGACAACACAGACAGGATGTTAGTTAGTGTTGATATGTTTTCTTGATTTCAATTGAGGAAAAAAACTACACAGTGTGTTTATATCTCAATTCATTTTATCCGTGTGGTTGGAAAAGGGTTATTTCATTGTGGTATTTCATTGTAGCTACATCTTCGAGTTTTGCTTTCAAAGTTTGAAATGCCCCTATTCCAGTAACCAATGTTGTTTGTTTATTCTAATTGTTCCTATCTTTTGCGGCAGTGATCAAACCCATGCTGTCTTGACAAGTACAGCCTTTGTTCATTTAAAGCAAGCAGAAATTACTAAGTATACTCGGAAGCTATCTCCTGCAAGTCGAGCCATTCTACTCTCAGGCCCTGCAGGTAATCACCCAAGTTTGAAATATGTAGTGTGCTATTTAAGCATTTTAGCTATATGTATATTTTATGCTCCATACTGATTGTAGAGATACGTATTTGAAGAGCTATATCAACAGATGCTTGCAAAGGCACTAGCGCATCACTTTGAGGCCAAACTATTGTTGCTAGATATAACTGACTTCTCTCTCAAGGTCAGTAGATGAAATTTTATTGTTTTAAATCCTTATTTTGTATGGTGTTTAAATGTGTATGATTTTAATACCAGTAATTGGCAATTGTTATAGATGCAGAGCAAATATGGTCATGGCAATAAAGATTCAGTAAGAAATTCTTTCCTTATCATCACATATTTCTTATTCTATCTCTCGAATTTTGTGCATCCTGCAGAGTTAATATCTGACTGTCTTTCTTTTTTATGGATGCACATTTTAGCAGTTTATCTATATTTTCATTTTAGCAGTTTATCTATTTTTCAATCTTTATTTCCTCCTTTTGCCTGAAGGAGCATGATAATTTTTTGAAGTTATACGCATATTTCGTTTGAAACATTACCTTGGGTTCATTCATGTTGATGTCGCGGATTACACACCTGATGTAGTTGAATGATGAATTACATGGAGTTGGTTGTGAATAATGTTGATGCATATTCCTGCTCTAGATGTGTGATGAATTACATGGAGTTGGTTGTGAATAATGTTGATGCATATTCCTGCTCTAGATGTGTTCTTATAATAGTTTTAAGAGGCCAAATTTCTCATTTTTATGTATTTACTTTCTACAGCTTCTCAAAAGATCCATATCGGAGGCATCAATTGAGAGAATGTCTTGTCTATTTGAATCCTTTTCCCTTCTTTCTCCAACGGAGGAACCTAAAGGTATCAGTTGGATTATATATAAACACATATACTATCTTCATTTCATAGGGCATAGTACCTGAATTTGTAAATTGGTTAACTAGATTCTTGTCTTTCATGGTTACATATTTTTTTCTTAGATTACAGCTTCTGATGTCAGTTTTGTTTCTTCAAACAATTTTTGCGAAGAGAATGTCATAAACATGTGTTTTTTGAAAATCGTCATCTCCTTTATGTTCTGAATAAGTCCAATTTTGGGCTTTTGAGACCTTATATGACCTTGTGAACATGGGTGCTTCATAAAAAGCTCAGAGGTGAACTGCAGATAAAATTGTCCTTTAAATCACCAGCAGAAGGCCCTTCTCAAGGAGTTAATAATAGATAAAGGCATAAAAGAATGCGAAGCGCCAGAATCAAAAAGAATATGTGCTGGAAAGGAATTCACAAGGAACATACCTTCCACCACTGCTCCACTCGCACCATGGTCGTGAGGGACAACTGCATACACTCTACCAGTAGTCGAAGGCTACTACACTGCATCGCCTGGAATGTATAGGACCATCTATCCCTGCTGGATCTCCTAAATAGCTCGCACCTGTCCCTCAATCCTCGGGACTGCTGGAGGTGCCTCAATCCTCAACTGCTGGCCCTGACCGTGACATTGAGCGTGGTTTTGTTGATGCTGCTGATTTTTGCCCTGCTAGCCTACTATGGGTGCGCTGCGACACTATGCTACTCTGTGTCTGAACCTGTTGTATTTGAAACAAGTCCCCTAAAATTTGCATTGTTGCTACACCCTCTGATCCTACTAGTGTCGCTTCTTATGGGGACCCTGCTGATGTGGACCCTTACCCTGCTGTTAGGGTCCTCCTGAGCTTACAAAAGGTCTCTTACCTTTACCTTTATCCTCGGACTGTCCTGATTTAACATTGCTATCCTTGCCCTTAAGGAAAATAGCTATGTCTGTCTCCTGAGCTATGGCAACATTCGTCACCTATCGCACTAAACGGAACCTCTGAGGTAATAAATATCAACGTAATCCTAGGCGAAGCCCCATCATAATCATCTGAGCCTGCCACTCTTTCGTGTGCCACATGCCCGTGAATCTAAGTAGTGTCATGAATTTACTCTCAAAATTAATCACGGACATATCCCCCAGCTCCAGATTAGTTAGCTCTAACTCCTTCCCTGCTTTTGCTACAGGCGACACATACGGGCGAAAAAGCTTGAATTTTAATTTTTTTAAGATTTAAGATATCACATGTTAACTTTTAAATATTCACTATTAGGTTTAACTGTTAGATGTCAATTTTAACTATTAGGTGTTAACTTTGACTATAAGATATTAAGTTTAACTATCAAGTGTTAACTTTAACCGTTACGTGTTAATTTCGGCGTGACTTTAAAGATTGTTCCTTTTAAGCTGAAAATGATAGGCTTTAAATGATACGGCAACAATAGGAGAAGAAGAAGAAGAAAGAGAGATAACTGAAGGAAGAGAAAAATAAAATAAAATAAAGGAAGAGTGATCGTGACGGTGAAAAAGATAACGATTGAGAAATAATTAAAAGAAAGAGAAGGATAATGCAATAAAAAAGTGGTGGTGAAAAAAATAATGGGTGAGAAGGAGTAGTAGAAGGCGATATTTCATTGAGAAAAGAAACAAGAGATAAGAAGAAAGGGGAGGAGAACGCAATAAAACAGATCACGGTGGAAAAAATAATGATTAAGACGCCGGAGGAACACATGATGAAAAGTTGAGAGGGCGTGCACCACATGAGAGTTCTCAGATGGAGGCCTAGACGCATTTTATGACCGTTTTAAACTAAACGTAGTTAGACATCGCCATGATGTACGCCTTAATGTTCCCTTTCCCCTTGTATCTCATTTTTAATTTTTTAATTTTGGTATTTATGTGCTTATCACATGCTGGTGGAAGAGTTGGCTGTGGTGAGTTATTTGCTTAAATTCGTGTCTGATTTCTTCTTAATATTATTTGTGTATCCACTGATATTGATCCATCTATGGTGCAGTCTACAATAAAGGCTAATGGATGAGACACTATATAGCTATAATTTTCATGTTTTTTTAACCAAATGGTTGCTAATTTGGGAATTTTCATGTGTTTAGATGATTATGCATTTTTAGTATTTGACGAATAATTCCTTCAGATTTGATTGTCATATGGTTGCTAAGTTACCAATATGAAACAATAATATTATACTTTTAGTTCTACATTAGTTGTGTAGCCTATATGACAAGGAACACCAAGTTAAGTTGGGATATGCCACGGAAATGCTGGTGGAAGAGTTGGATGTGGTGAGTTATTTGCTTAAATTTGTATCTGATTTCTTCTTAATATTATTTGTGTATCCACTGATATTGATCCATCTATGGTGCAGTCTGCAATAAAGGCTAATGGATGAGACACTATATAGCTACAATTAGTTTAAGTTCTCCCAAACTAATAATTTTTTACAAGATTATCTACATCTTTTACCTCACAGGAAACTTTCAAACTTTAAATTGTTTGTATAGTAGAATATATTCGGTTTTTTACGACATACTTAGCACTCCTGCAATGTTTTTTTAATATACATGGAATAGTGGAAAAAAGGGAAAATACATAACAAGCAGACAAAATTTAAGAATATTAACACTACAATTAATCATATACAATCTATGGTAGGTATTGATGAAGCAGACGGTGAAACAAAGTACAAACCTTCTCAATGTTTTCCAACATAATGCTTTTGATTTCTGAAACTTGGGCCTTAACTTTTAAAACCTTTTGTATCTTGTCGGCATGCTCAAGAATATATTGCATATGTTCCTTTATAATTGATCTGCAAATAATAGAAAACATGATATCATGAGAATCCCCGATGATACACAGAAATTGAAAAGGACCTCCTAAACAAAGAAAAGAGAAGAAAACACACCCAAATTATTTATAGATAATTTTGGCAGTTACCGTGTCAGCCTTACCACCTCCATATCTCTTTCTGAAATCTACCTTAAGCCGCTCAAGAAAGGCTACCAAGACATGTAAATGCAACTAACTTAGTACTCCTTCATGAAACCTATCCTTGATATCTAACGAGGTATTCCAAACTCAAGATCCACGTAATTTCCTCTTAAGCACTCCATATATTTTCTCGTGTTTTTTATATTAAATATTAATTTGAATTATTTCTTGGAGATGAGATGTTTATGCATAGAAAACGAGGCTTGTTTAGGACAAATAGTTGATTAGGGTCTTTATTTCATTAGTTGATTGTTGGCAATTAAAGTTGTTGATTTGTTGAATTTGGTTGTGTTACTGGAATTAAAGATTTGATGCGTTAGTTGGAGGTTAATCCATAAAAGTTTCAAAATCTTTGACCACACACCATGCATGACCACAATATGCACTTGCACACCCACACAAATATAATTGTAGTTTGAATTTGTTTTTTATTTATTTATTTTCCATTTTTGCTGGTTGGTTGCTTGTATGATATCTAGAAGCAGCAAGTGAGTTTTTTCCCATTTCTTTTTGACTTTGTTTGAAAGGGGTGCCGGGTAGGGGGGCGTAGGGGGAGGTGAATGGTAGGTTGGTGCCATAGTTTTTTAATAGACAGTCATCATTTAATTTATTAAAATTTGAATGAGCTACTGAAACTGAATCTTGGGATTTCCTGTTTTTGAATCTTTTTCCAGTCTTTTCTACTTTTATATATTGTATATTCTTGTATTCATGAAATAAATGGATGTTTCCAGGCGATATTCGTTTGTTCTTCCTTTGTGTTCTTTCCCTTTTCTGCCATATGCAGTCACTACCGAGAGTTATTAGTGGGTCCACCATTATAAATTCTGAAGAATTAATAAAGTATGGTTAATTAGATAGCATGGTGTTTCATATTTGAGAGGATGTTTTGAGCTTTTTTTGGTTAATCCCCTCAAAATCCTTTAATTTTTTGAATTTGATACCTTTTGAGAATTTTGCTCTGTAAATTGAGTAATTTGAGTAATTGGAGCTGGATATTTAAGGTTATAATTGGATTCTAAATCTATCTCAATTTTTATGGATGTGATTTATCTGCTAGGTTTGCATGTGTCACTACTTCATGTTTTGGCTTTTTGATGTTGTGATTGTGAGCTAAGTTTGTTAGGCGTAGAATGTTTCCTATTAGCATCAAATAGTAAATTCTGGTTCCATTGGGAAGTAGAATTTATTTTGTTGACAGATTCTCATAACTGATCAACTTTTGATATCACATGTTTGAACTTTGAAGTGATAAAGCTTTTTACAAAATTTCTTGGTGTAGTGTCCAGTTTATAAAAGCTTCAAGTTATACGCCTAAATCCTAAACGAATTCTGTTTCATTTAGAAGTCAGAAATTTCACAAATTTCATTTGATTAGTTAAAATATACATGGGCAAATATATGTCAGAAATAATTTTAGATCCATG